GGGGAGGTGATGGGGCACCCCCAAGCTCATCATCCATGGAGGAACCCAACCATCTGGTGGTGGATACCGTCTTCAGGAACCCCCAAATCCATCATCAATGGGGGGTTTGGGGGGGACCCCAAGATGAGGGACCCCCAAATGTGTGGGTCATGGGGGGACGTGGTCATCAGGGACCCCCAAATCCATCATCTATGGGGGGGTCGGAGGGTCTGGGGGGGACCCCAAGATGAGGGACCCCCAAATGTGTGGGTCATGGGGGGACGTGGTCATCAGGGACCCCCAAATCCATCATCTATGGGGGGGTCGGAGGGTCTGGGGGGGACCCCAAGATGAGGGACCCCCAAATGTGTGGGTCATGGGGGGACGTGGTCATCAGGGACCCCCAAATCCATCATCTATGGGGGGGTCGGAGGGTCTGGGGGGGACCCCAAGATGAGGGACCCCCAAATCCATCATCCATGGAGGAACCCAACCATCTGGTGGTGGACCTGGTCAGGAGGAACCCCCAAATCCATGGTCCAGGGTGGAGTCCAAGTGTCCAATGGTGGATCCCATCATCAGGAACCCCCAAATCCATCATCTATGGGGGGATCCAGGCCTCTGGTGGTTGACCTGGTCATGAGGAACCCCCAAATCCATGGTCCATGGGGGGACCTGGTCATCAGGGACCCCCAAATCCATCATCCATGGAGGGGTCCAACCATCTGGTGGTGGATCCCATCATCAGGAACCCCCAAATCCATGGTCCAGGGTGAAGTCCAAGTGTCCAATGGTGGACCCCATCATCAGGAACCTCCAAATCCATCATCCGTGGAGGAACCCAACCATCTGGTGGTGGATCCCATCATCAGGAACCCCCAAATCCATCGTCCATGGGGGCACCTGGTCATCAGGGACCCCCAAATCCATCATTCATGGAGGGGTCCAAGTGGCTGGTGGTGGATCCCATCATGAGGAACCCCCAAATCCACGATCTATGGGGGGATCCAGGCCTCTGGTGGTGGACCTGGTCATGAGGAACCCCCAAAACTCATCATCCATGGAGGAACCCAACCATCTGGTGGTGGATCCCATCATCAGGAACCCCCAAATCCATCGTCCATGGGGGCAGGAACCCCCATATACATGGGCCATGGGGGGAACTGGTCAGGGTCCAACCATCTGGTGGTGGATCCCATCATCAGGAACCCCCATATACATGGGCCATGGGGGGAACTGGTCATCAGGGACCCCCAAATCCATCATCCATGGAGGGGTCCAACCATCTGGTGGTGGACCTGGTCATGAGGAACCCCCAAAACTCATCATCCATGGAGGAACCCAACCATCTGGTGGTGGACTCAATCATCAGGAACCCCCAAATCCATGATCCATGAAGGGACCTGGTCATCAGGGACCCCCAAATCCATCATCCATGGAGGGCTCCAAGTGTCCGGTGGTGGATCCCATCATGAGGAACCCCCAAATCCATGATCCATGAAGGGACCTGGTCATCAGGGACCCCCAAATCCATCATTCATGGAGGGGTCCAAGTGGCTGGTGGTGGATCCCATCATGAGGAACCCCCAAATCCATGCTCAGGGTGGAGTCCAAGTGTCCAATGGTGGACCCCATCATCAGGAACCCCCAAAATCCATCATCCATGGAGGAACCCAACCATCTGGTGGTGGACTCAGTCATCAGGAACCCCCAAATCCATCATCTATGGGGGGGTCCAAGTGGCTGGTGGTGGACCCGGTCATCAGGAACCCCCAAATCCATGGTCCATGGGGGGACCTGGTCATCGGGGACCCCCAAATCCATCATCTAGGGGGGTATCCAGGCATCTGGTGGTGGAGCTGGTCATGAGGAACCCCCAAAATCCATGGTCCATGGAGGGACCTGGTCATCAGGGACCCCAAAATCCATCATCCATGGAGGGCTCCAAGCATCTGGTGGTGGATCCCATCATGAGGAACCCCCAAATCCATGGTCCATGGGGGGACCCGGTCATGAGGAACCCCCAAACTCATCATCCATGGAGGGGTCCAAGCATCTGGTGGTGGATCCGGTCATGAGGAACCCCCAAATCCATCATCCATGGAGGAACCCAACCATCTGGTGGTGGACTCAGTCATCAGGAACCCCCAAGTCCATGGTCCATGGGGGCACCTAGTCATCAGGGACCCCCAAATCCATCATCCATGGAGGGCTCCAAGTGGCTGGTGGTGGATCCCATCATCAGGAACCCCCAAATCCATGGACCAGGGAGGAGTCCAAGTGTCCACTGGTGGACCCCATCATGAGGAACCCCCAAATCCATCATCTATGGGGGGGTCCAAGCATCTGGTGGTGGATCCCATCATGAGGAACCCCCAGATCCATGGTCCATGGGGGGACCTGGTCATTGGGGACCCCCAAATCCATCATCCATGGAGGAACCCAATCATCTGGTGGTGGATCCCATCATGAGGCACCCCCAAATCCATGCTCAGGGTGGAGTCCAAGTGTCCACTGGTGGACCCCATCATCAGGAACCCCCCAAATCCATCATCCATGGAGGAACCCAACCATCTGGTGGTCCCCCACCCCACCCCCCCCCACCCCAAAGGACCTCCCCCAGCTTCTCCTCAGCGCACCATGACGTTGATCTCGGCCACGCTGGCCTCCAAGACGTTCTCGGCCGTGGTCTTGCCGTGTTGCTCCTTGAGGTGCCTCCTGATGGCGGGTTTGTGGGCGAAGCGGACGTCGCAGTAGGAGCACCTGTAGGGCCTCTCCCCGCTGTGGAGGTTCATGTGGTCGTGGAGGGTGGATTTTTGGGTGAAGCTCTTGCCGCAGACGCCGCAACCGTGAGATTTGACCCCCCGGTGGACGTTCATGTGACGGTTGAGGTTGGAGCTGTGGTTGAACTGTTTGCCGCAACGTGGACACATGAAGACAAAATGGCGGGCCCTCATGTGGAAAACCAACTTCTCCACCCCTTGGAAGATCTCGCCGCATCTCCCGCATCGCGCCGAAGAACCTCCCGAGGTCAAAAAAGCTCCCGAAGAAGAAGAAGAAGAAGAAGGTGGAGTCAAAGAGGAAGAGGAGGAAGAAGAAGAAGACGGCGGCGGCGTCAACAACGAGGCGGTACCCAACGAGGAAGAGCCCGAAGCCAAGGAGGAAGAGGCACAACCCAACGAGGAAGAGCCAGAACCCAACGATGAAGACCCAGAACCCAACGAGGAAGACCCCGAAGCCAACGAGGAAGACCCCGAAGCCAACGAGGAAGACCCCGAAGCCAACCGGTCATGAGGAACCCCCAAACTCATCATCCATGGAGGGGTCCAAGCATCTGGTGGTGGATCCGGTCATGAGGAACCCCCAAATCCATCATCCATGGAGGAACCCAACCATCTGGTGGTGGACTCAGTCATCAGGAACCCCCAAGTCCATGGTCCATGGGGGCACCTAGTCATCAGGGACCCCCAAATCCATCATCCATGGAGGGCTCCAAGTGGCTGGTGGTGGATCCCATCATCAGGAACCCCCAAATCCATGGACCAGGGAGGAGTCCAAGTGTCCACTGGTGGACCCCATCATGAGGAACCCCCAAATCCATCATCTATGGGGGGGTCCAAGCATCTGGTGGTGGATCCCATCATGAGGAACCCCCAGATCCATGGTCCATGGGGGGACCTGGTCATTGGGGACCCCCAAATCCATCATCCATGGAGGAACCCAATCATCTGGTGGTGGATCCCATCATGAGGCACCCCCAAATCCATGCTCAGGGTGGAGTCCAAGTGTCCACTGGTGGACCCCATCATCAGGAACCCCCAAAATCCATCATCCATGGAGGAACCCAACCATCTGGTGGTGGACTCAGTCATCAGGACCCCCCAAGTCCATGGTCCATGGGGGCACCTAGTCATCAGGGACCCCCAAATCCATCATCCATGGAGGGCTCCAAGTGGCTGGTGGTGGATCCCATCATCAGGAACCCCCAAATCCATGGTCCATGAAGGGACCTGGTCATCAGGGCCCCCCAAATCCATCATCCA